TTCGATAGTTAAATAAGTCCTTTTTCGAGTTTTTTATCGATATATTCGTTAAGATATTCCTATTCTTCTTAGTTTATTAGGTATATTAAGAAGAACTTAGGTTGCGTTCTTTTTTTAAATTCGATTTCTATATCCTAGCTACTATGTTTTAGTAATCCTATTTCTTCGGGTTTTATAAATAGTTTTGTATATATTTAGTACTCCTCGGGTATAGTCTAGAGTTATTATAATCCCCGATCGTTAGTATTAGTTATAAACTTTTTAAAGCTTTTTATTATCCTAATAAAAACTATGTATCGTATTTATTCTCGTTTTTTAAGAGTTCTTAAAAATCCGTTTAAACCCTTTTTTTTTTTAAGTTATTTAGTAACTAAATTTTTTTAAAGGACCTAGTTAGTAGTCTAATCTATCCGTGGGTTATACTTTTATAACTACGAGATTCTTAGGATAACGTCAATATTTCCAATTTTTATAATATCGTACTATAATTATTCTTACTAGTTATTAATATATATTAAGAGGTATACGGTTTCCTAATTAATATATTTATAGTTATAGTTAACTCGTTCTCTTTTTACTGTTTATAGTTAATATAGGTTATCTTTTTATACTTATAGTAAGTTAAGTTTATTTATTATTTTTAGTAAGATATAACTTTTTTATGCGCCGTTATTAATAATAGCATTTAATCCTTATCTATAAATATCGAAGTTAATTCGTAAGTATGCGTCGTTACGTTATTTAGTTATATATAAGAACTTTTTTTCTATTTTTACCTTTCGTTATTCTTTTATAATTAGCTTTTTTAGTTTTTTATTATTTACTTTTTCGGACGGTTCTTTTATTTATATCTCTCTTAGTATTCCCTCTATACCTTAGCCTTTTTAACGTAGTAAATTTAGTATTAATTATGTTTATAGTCTTCTTATTTTATATACTCGCTATTAAGGTACTTTATAGGAAAGCTAGGGTCTAGGCTAAATATTACTTTATCGTTATTATTAAAACTTAGTAACGTCTAACTAAGTAGCTAGTCTTTTACGTAAATATCCCTAATAGGTTTACTATTACGTCTTTATAAGTAAAAACGACTATCTTATTTATATACGAGGTACTAAAAATATTTGTTATCTAGGTATTCTACTTAAAATAATTCCTTATAAAAAGGATCTTCGGGGTTAAGTAGAGAGTAGTTTTTATCCGTATAGGGGGTTATTATAACCTTTTTACGTTCTTTAGTTCTATAAAACTAAACGGTTTAGTTATTTTTAAATAGGTAAATATATTTATACCGTAGTTCGTCGTCGTCCTTTTTAGAGCTAGTATTATTAATACTAAGCGGTACTTTATAATCGATTTCTATTTAAGTACGTCGTTAGGCAACGTTACGAAGTTCGTCCGAATCGTAAGGTAATTTTGCTTTATTAAAATAGAAGGAGCTAGTTCTTATTTTAATATCTTCTTCTTTAAAGTTAAAGTTAATTTTTCCCTCTTTTATAATTCTAAAATTAAGAATCGGTTTCTTAAGTATTTCGATCTTATTTTTATATACGAGGTCCTTAAGTTATTTTTTAACCTTACGAATAAATTTCTTATTAACGTCTACCCGTTTTATTATATAAATAGACTTAGTCAGGATTTTATTTAAGTTAGCTTTTAATTTAGTAAGTAGTTTTTGGTTTATATAGTTTTATTATACTATATAAACGAGGCTACTTATAATTTCTTTTATATTGGGTCCTCTTTTTTTAAATTTAAGGAGTTACTCCTTTATATTAGTTAGGAGTCTTTATTTAATCCGTTCTTTAAGGAGGTAAAGTATATCCCTCGTAATAGGGTCCGTTTTAGCTTTTTTTTTTATATTTTTATAAATCTAAGAGAGTATAGTAATATATTTAATATTATTTTTTTTAAGAGTATAGGGCCGGTAGGCGGGTATTTTTATTTTTTTTATTATTACTACTAGGGTTTTAATAGAAGGTAAGGTAGATCGTTTATTATTCTTAGGTTACTTTAGGTACTATCCTATTTGTTTTTTACTATTTTAGTAAGTAAAGTAGTTATTATTATAATAAGCTATTTATAAAAGCTACTTATAGGGGACTTTTTTGTTTACGATATTAGCTCGCTTCTCTAGGATAGGTTAGTATTAAATACGTTTAGGTTATTAATAGTTTCTAGCTATATATCCTAGTTTATTATAGTTATAGTACTTAAAGTCCTTTTTCTAGCGAGGTTATTCTCTTTTAATAATACTAAGATTTATTAGTCCGTTATAATATCTTATTATAATAGTCGTTAGTCTGTACTTATATCTATTATTAAGTTTAGCTCGGTTATTTTAAGTATTCTATCCTTTTTATTTAAGGCGTTATTTATAGAGTCGATTATCGATTTTAACTATTATATTAATATAATTATAAAGCTTATTTAATCGTTTTTATTAAGAGAGGTTATTTTTAATTTCTTTTTTTAGGCTACGATAGAAGGCTATTATAAGTGTATTATTATCCTAATTAAGTTTAGAGGTAATCTATCTAAATTTAGATACGTACTTATTAGCTAACCCTTTTTATATAAGGGTTATAAGCTTTCGTTTAGTAATTCGCTCTTTAGGAGGGTTACTAAAAGTTTTTTTAAATCTTTTTTTAAATTTATTATAGTTATTAAAGATCTTTTTAGTGTTTTTATCCTAAAGGTTGCGTTCGTTCTCGAGGTAGTTTCTTATAGAGGGTTCGAACTAGGTAAGGGTATCCTTTTTAAAAAATAAAGCTATATAGTAAACTTTATTAGCTTTAATAATAAAAGAGGTTTTATAGTAGCGTAAGTAGGCCCTAGTTTAAGTAAGGAATCCTTAGAGGGTATCCGGGGACCCGTCGTAGGGTTCCGGTTTAGAGTACTTAGCTCTAAGTACTAAGGGAGGTTAGGGCGCTATGAGCTAAGCGTAAAGTTACTTATTCTCGTTTTTAAGTTTAAGTATTATGTCGTATAGTTATTAAATAGTAAGTATAGCTATTTTAGTAAGCTGTGCCGTATTATTATTATTAGCGGTCGATATATTTATACTATTTAGTTAGTTTTTTATAGAGTGAACTTACTAAATAGGAGTAATTAAAGTATTATAGCTAGCTAGTCGTAATAAGTATATTAATAGAAGTTAAGGCTACGAATACTAAATAAATAGTATTATAATTATAAATAGGTAAGGCTTTAATAATTAATCGTAGTCTTATTAAAAAGGGTTCTTAATAAAAATAGCTAAAAGCGATCGTAAGATTTAATACTAAGTTAATTACTAAAGAAGCTATAGGAAGTTTATTTTTAAGCTCGGCTTAAATTTATACTATATATAAGTCTCGTTTTTAAACATATCCTTTATAATATTCTTATTTATTATTATCTAACTATTTACTAAACGGTCGTCCGTCCTACTTATTTACGATCGTTCGTCCTATTTATTTACGGGTATCCGTTCCTTATTTTATTATATAATCGTAGTTACGTAACTTATTTATAGTTTTTCTATCCCGAGAGGAGTTACCCTAAGTCCGTATTTCTATATATATAGTATAATAGCCGCCGTAGGTCCTATGGGGCGAGGCCCTAGCCTTATTATGCGTATTAGGTCGTAATAACTACCTCTTTAAGAAAAAAAAGAAGAAGAACTAAAAAATAAAGTTATTATTACTTAATAACAAAATCTATCTTATTAAATACTATACTTTAATATAAAAAATAAAAATAATATTATACTTAATACTTATTAATTAATTAACCTCGCTAAGCTCTATAATAATAAAAATAAATATAATAGTAAGAAGTATAATATTTTTAATAAAAAGCTTCGGATTTTTAAAGTATTATATTAACGGGTAAGAATTAGCGAATAATACTATTTTAATACCTTTTTAAATATACTTAAGGGAAGGGCGTTAACCTTTTACTTTAACTAACTTAGTAATACCTCTAACCTACTTAGCTTCGATATAATATATTAGAGGACCTAGGAGTACTTTAAACTACTTACGAGTTATTAAAACTACTTTACTAAGCTTTATAATCTTTATTAATATTCTATAGTTTATAAAAACCTAGGTAAATCGAATTAATAGATCTTATAAGTACTTATTAATTATATTACGATTTTTTATAAAACGCTAGTTACGTAGGGATTTATTTTTAATATAAGTAACTAACTCCTCTATTACGTAAGTAGTATATTAGAATATAAACTTATTATACTTAACCCGGTACTTACGTTTATTAGTATTTATTACTAACTTAGTACTTTAATTAATATTATAAAGAGAGAGCGCGACTATAATAAATAATAATAGTATTTTTAGGATAATATTTATAATAAAGAGGTCCTCGCTACTTACTAAACTAACCATATTTATAGTAGCTTTAATAAAAAGACCCGATTTAATAAGTAAAATTAACGTAGCCGCGGTATTACTAATAAAAAATACTTTATTTATTATAAAACCGGTTATTAATTAACTAAGTATTTAAAAAAAGAGCGACATTAGGTATATTAGAAATATAAAAATAGTAAAGAAAAAAATAAAAGATCTATATTAAGCTTATATTCGTAGTTCCTCGCTTTTTATAAAAGAACCGCCCCTATTAACGATAATGACAATAATAATATTATAATTTAATACTTTAATAACCTTAATTTTAATTATAAGGATAATTACGAGGATAAAGTTTAGATTTTAATAGTATACTTTACGATTATTACTAATAGTAGAGCTCTTATAAATATCCTCACTACTTAGGTAATAGAGCATAGCTTTATAAGTACTACTTTTATTAACGAGTTAACTAAGCTTATAGAACTAGTAACCTCTTTTTTATTAAATAGGAGGTACTTGTTAGGGGATTTTTAAAGTATTATATTTAATACTAATATTATAGAATTCTTAACCGCGGGCTATTTTTAACTCCTCGTATTATAATAACGACGACTTAAAATTACTTTTAATATTTCTAGAGCTAGTAAAATAGGTATTCGATTTAGTAATAATAAACTTATAAGGTTATTAAGATCTACGGTCGTTAGTACCCTATTTAATAATATTACTTTTTACGTTTTACTAATTAATACTCCTTTTTTATATTACTTAAAGGATATAGATAAGCTAGGAGTATATTTTAATAATATTAATAACTTACTAATTAAGGGAGACGTTATAGTACTTATTATTCGTAAATAGGGATACCCTTAGTTTCTACTCCTTAATAATAAAAAAGCTATTACTAATTACTTAACGGAGGGTAAATTACGCTACTTATATTAGCGCTTTAGTTACTTTTTAGTTCCTTATTTTTTAAAACTATTTTAATAGTTAAGTAACGATATAAAGATTATAGCTTTTAAAAAGCTTATAAAGATTTATTAATAATACTAACTTAACGCTATTATTCCTAGTTAATTTAAATTTATTTTATAAGATAATTATAATTTTAATTACGAGATCGTAATTAATATAATATACTTAATAAATTATAAAGGTATTAACTAATTAGTACTTTATATCGTTAATACTACTACTTCTTTTTAAGTAGTAAGGTTCCTTATAGATATAATTATAAAGTATATATAAGAAGTATTTTAGCTATATTAAATCGACGTTTATCTCGGTTTACCGGACTAGATTATTATAAATATTAATAAGAACTTTAGCGCCGTAGAGTTTAAATCTTTTATTAAATCTATATTTATTAAGGTTAAGGAAGTACCTATCGAGACTTATAATAGTATTAATAAAGCTAAGAAATACTACGTAGTACTTAAAAGGGTATATAATATTATTTAAAATAAGTACTTATTAATAAGTATAAAGGCTATATTTTAGGCCGTAATTAAGGTAGTTAACGATATAGTCGGCCTAAATAGCCTCGTTCCTATACTCCTTATTTTCGGAGCTTTTTTATATATTTCTAACGAATCTCTACTATTACTAAATATTATTTAACGTATAAAAGTAGTTAGAAAAGTAATAAGAGAAGTCCGTAGACTTTATATTAGTAAGTAAGTAAATAAGGTACTAGTTATTTAAAATAGACTAGATATTTTTTATATTATTAATTTATTATTATAGTTAGATATTAAAGTTTAGTAAGAAAGTAAGGGATAAAAAGGCCTATTTAAGTTCGTTTTAATAAGTAATATTATATACGTAATAAAATTACTTTACGGCTTAATAAGCTTCTGGGCTATTATAATTAAACCCTAGTATTTAAAAAAGGTCGACCCCGAGCTACTAACTACGGTAATAAAGTACGTCGACCGCTTACTAATCCCCATAATTAACTAGCTAACTAATAATAATACCGCTACTAACAAGGTCCTTAATAAGATCGTCATAGTAATTAATAACGACCCTTTACTATAAAAAAAGAGGATTAGAAGAATATTAATATGGCGCGGCCGTAGTAATATTTTTATAATTATTATTTATTTTATATTTAAAGAGGAGGTAAATTTTAAGCTAGCTACTAAACTCCGTAATAAGAGTATTATTACTATACTAAGAATACTTTTTATAAAATCTATTAATGAAGAGCTTTTAAGACTAGTTAAGAGAGGTATAATTAAATTTATTTAACTCGGCCCTAAATATAGGGATATAAGGATATTTAAATCTTAATTCGTTAATAAGATTAAAAACCTAGGACTTAACTCTATTAAAAAGTCCTATTTAGTTATATAAGGGTATAATAACGAGGGAAAAAAAGAGATCCTTATATAGTTACTAATAATTTAAAAAACTAGTTAATATCTAATCCTTACCCTAGCCCTAACCCTAATTTAAAAAGGCTACGTTATCTAGCTATAAAATATTACTTAAGTATATATATAATCGAGCTAACCTCTTTATTATAAGGTTTTTATTTAATTACTAACTTAGATCCGTTACTTATACCTTAAGGGTACTATTTTATACGTTATATAGCTATTATATAGTCTCGTAGAATTTAGTACTTATTAATAAGTAATATATAGTAAGTATTATTTAAAAATACTCTAGATAATAATATCTACGTTTAACTTATACTTATTAATTTTAATAAAAGAAAGCGGATTATTCGGTATTATTAGAATATAGATTAATAATATAATTAAATTATTAAATAAGACCTTTAGTTAAAAAGAAAAGACCGAGCTTAAGTATACTAAGTTACTAACTAAACTAAAATAATAATTATTAACTAACGAGCCGCTTATTTTTAATAATAGAATTATTTTATTAGAAGATATTAATATAGTACTTAGATAGAAGAACTAAAGGAAGAAGCTTAAGTAAGTTAACCCCTTAGTATTAAATACTAAATAATAATTCGTTAAATAATAAGCTCGAGGTACTTATATTATATTAATTTATTAACTAGAAGTAGTTTTTAATATGTTATTTATTACTTAATACTAAATAGATCTATTATTTACTAACTATACTATACTAAACTATTATATTAAATAGTAAATAAATTACTTAAACTAAGGGCTTATATTCGTACTATTAGATCTAACTATAGCTAAACTCTTTGTTTTTATAAATAAGTTATTTATAAATAACGCTAATTATACCTTATAGCTAGGTTATATTATTATTTTTATAAATAAAGAATAGACTAATAAAAGCTTTATAATTAATAATAATATTATTTACTATAGCTCTATAAAGAGTAAAAGGATTACTTAGAGCGTATTAGTATTAGAAGTTTATAGAATAGTTATAGGTATTAACGTCGCTTATATTATTTTAACTACCCTAGACCTTATTATTAAATAACTTAACGTTCTAAAAATCTTTACTATAATTTATATAGATTTATACTTATTATATAAATACTTCGTTAAGCTAAGTATTATAAAAAAAAAGCGCCTTATAATAAATATTATAGTACTTTAGTAATTATATAAACGCTACGAGCTTTATAAAATTTATTAAATTAGTAATAACGATAACCTAGCTAATAGGTTTATAAAAAGCATATTAAATAAGTCCCTCGAGCGATTTATTAATAAAGGAATTATTATAATTAAAATAAAAGGGTAAGTAATACGTAATTAAAATAGTAATATATTATAAATAATAAGTTATTTAGCGAACGTATACGCTTCTTAGACTTTAGTTTAAAAAGAAATATATATATTCGGGGCGTAGTTAAATTAATAAAAAGCTTTTTTTTAACTACGCTAGATTTAACGATTTTTAAAGAGTTTAGATATATAAATTATATATATTAGAGGATTAAAAAGTAATTAAAAAAAGGGGATAATAAAATTTTTATATAAATAATTATAGCGGAAGCTATACTAAAATTTTAGTATACGGCTTTAGGTATTTTTAAATAGGGGATTAATAACGGATTTTATTACTAGTTCTCGCTAGCGGGGGGACTTAGCCCCTATTCTACCCTTTTTTATTATAAAAATAGAAGACTATTAATATTAGATTACGAGGTAGAAAAGGGCCTTATTAGGTAGTTAAGTAGGGGTAGTAGGTAAGTAGTCTGGGCCCGTGTAGACGGACCTTTTTACCTACTTATACCTATAGAGGGATCGCGGGCCCTACTTATAATCTTCCCCTCTTATATACACGCAATAGACCTATACTAACCTATTGACCTAGTCGCGACCGAAAGGTCTGACCTGCCTAAGTGTATACTAACAGTAAGAGAATTTCAAGAACCTACTAAAGAACAAGCCTGGATCGGCCACTGGAGATAAGTTTGGCCATAACTTTCCTCGTATCCAAAGAAAATATCTCATTCATCCCTCGATTGGACTTAATTCATATTATTCTCATCTTGTCTGGTACAGAATCGCAGAGCCATATTTCATACCATCTATCTCGTTAGCATCTATTCGATCATCTGTTATTAAATACCACTCATCTCATCTACGTCTCTTCATGCCTCAAAATGCGGCTGATTACTCTGACAGCTTGCCTGACGCTTCTAGCGAGCTCGGTATTGGCCCGTAAGTACTTCGCCTCCTATCCGTAGTAAGGGTCGACTTTGGTGACCTCATTCACTGGAACAAAGGAATCGGCTATCACTTGGTGACCGACTTGCTCGAATTGACTCCCGTGCCCGATGGGATATGATTGAACTGTGTAGATGGGGGTTGGACTAAGCCAAAACTAATGGAACTTCTAGAAAGTTGTAACAACGGCCGGGGGTTTTGCAAAGGCGGACGATGCGAGCCTAATAACGACCCGAGCGGCGCTGGCCCATTTGTCGGTAACTTCAAGGAATGTCAGACCGGAAACGGACGATCTCAAGTCGACGACTTCATCTTGGGAGGTGGTAACCAGGATGCTGAAGTCAATGCTGGCGCTGCTTGTAACAATGGTAGAGGAACCTGCAGCACTCGCGGTGCTTGCGAACCTAACAACGACCCCAGTGGCGCTGGACCATTTGTGGGAACTTTTGAGGAGTGCTTCAGTTAGAGATGCTAACTTCTTCCCTCAATACAAGCCATCTTTCAATCGTTTGGCATAATGGCCCTTGCCAACAACCACAACCCCAAGCGAGACGGATGTGACAATGTATTGCCAGTCTTCCTGGTGGACGGCGGAGTTTATATATCCTAAGTCCGGCTCCTAATCAGGGGCAGAGGAGCTTATTCAGGACCAGTCATCGATTTCAATGCCCTTGCATGATTGACCACAGCTCAAGCTTAGTTTAAGAGCTAATTCCGAATCACCAATGCTCTGATGGTCAGCAAGCTGCGCTGCACCAGATGGTGGGCTAAAAGAGGTAGGCCAGTGATCAGCGCAGTGCGGGGTAGCTCTTCGCTTCTCGGTTCCATCACCGACCCGCGCTGTGACCGCTCCAAAGTATGTCGCGATCGGGCTTGATGACGTTTGTGCTGGCAACGTAGCTATTTAGACCACATCTCGGCCCTACACAGCCTTCTATAAATCTTCAATTAAACAATTGCCTGCCATCCGGTCTCAGCAGATCATATTCACCCGTACAACGACTTACTCATCAAAAGTTCAGCACAACTCGCAGCAATGGCATCTAAGGAGCTCCCAGCACGCCTGAGGGAAAGTATCGAGAGCACCAAGGTCGAGTACCGCCAGCTCGGAAAGTCCGGATTGCGTGTCTCAGTTCCCATTTTTGGCTGTATGAGTTTTGGAGACTCTCAGTCCATCGACTGGGCTCTGAATGAGGATGAGGTATACTGAACGCTTACGCGATGATCGTCGACCAGCGTGGCTAAGAAACATAACATGTAGGCACTTCCGCTTCTGAAGGCGGCTTACGATCGGGGATTGAATACTTGGGATACCGCCAACGCATACTCGAATGGCGCATCCGAGCGGACGATTGCCAAGGCCCTGAAGAAATACAACATCCCCCGCGAGAAGGTGGTCATTTTGACCAAGTGTTTCTTTGCTGTCGGTGAAGAGCCTGGTATGTGACTCGGTACTTGATGCTGTGACAATCATGGTCGCATCGCTGACGACTTTCGCACTTTGTAGAGACTCGTCACTTCAACTACCGCGAGGAAATCAACAAATCGAAGGACTACCAAAACCAGTGGGGTTTGTCTAGAGCTTCTATCTTCAACCAGGTGGAGGCGTCCATGAAGAGACTGGACACTCCGTACATCGATCTTCTCCAGATCCACAGATTTGACCCCAGAACACCCGTAGAAGAAACGATGAAGGCGCTGCACGACTTGGTGCAGACGGGGAAGGTTCGGTACATCGGTGCCAGCAGCATGTGGGGTACTCAATTTGCCCAGATGCAGTTCACCGCTGAGAAGAATGGTTGGACGAAGTTCGTGAGCATGCAAAATCAATACAATCTATTGTATCGCGAAGAAGAAAGGGAGATGAACCGATTCTGTAACGACACTGGAGTCGGACTCATTCCGTGGGCTCCTCTCTGTAAGTCAATGGCCCTCACATTCAGGTTCGGCTCACGCTAATGGGTGACATCAACTAGGCCGTGGTCACCTAGCCCGACCACCAAAGGACTTCGGCTCCACCTCTCGCAGCAAGACCGAGAAGGAGGGTCAGCCCGGAAGCCATGGAACGGTGGAGCCGGACCTGACCATCATCAAGCGAGTTCAGGAGATTGCGGAGAAGCGGGACTGGCCCATGTCCCATGTGGCTCTTGCATGGATCAACAAACGAATTACGAGCCCCATTATCGGCTTCAGTAGCGTCGAGAGAATCGACCAAGCAATCACTGCTGACGGCAAGGTCCTAACCGATGAGGAGGAGAAGTACCTTGAAGAACTGTACCAACCCAAGGCCATCTCGGGACATGTCTAAGTCGGCCGCGCAGGGAAGGATCTAGATAACCTTTGAATAGTAATGAAGGTAGAGCCAATCAGATCTTTCTTTTAGCCTCCTCCAAATGATTCTGTGTAGCGTCAAGAGTACACAAGTTAGCCAGCATCTCCCTGGAAGCTGGCAATGATTGACACTTCCAAGACGTTGACGAAGCTTCGCTTCAGCTATCAGCGCTCCCCGATATCTGTCTCCCAATACTAAGGTACTTAGATTACGGTGCCGAACACGAATTCGGAAGTATGGTGATTCGGATCCTAGATTGGCTGAAGCGGTCTTCGTCTGATCTCCCTCAAATCCTCGCAACACAGACCGTCGCAGAACATAAGTTTCTGCCTGATTCGGCGACGATGCTTTAATTAACACTATCTCCAATGTAGCCGATGCAGCCAATTCAGGCCGATTTCAGCCCTTGTGCCCCCCCCCCCCCCCCGTCTACATTACACTACTCATTCATCCAAGGTCGTATCCCAAGTCGCAGCCATCTGATAGCATAATCGCGTGACAGCTGCCGACCCATCATATGTGATCTCGCTGCCGAGGGTGGAGAGAAACGTGCTTCCACCCATGGGATCGAGTTGTAGGGAGAGCCCCTTGTTGAAGTTCTTGAGAGGTTCAACGAGCAGCCTCCTATCTTGGAATGCTGTCAAATTTTAGAAACACTTCCGTTTCGGGCCATGCGATGCGAAGAATAACCTACAGTGTCCGCCATATCGCTACCCCCCGCGCGGCGCTACCTGGTTCATCTGGAATTAAGCTCATTGGACAAACCAAGACGGCAGCGATGGAATCTTGGTTCATCGATCGTAATGAAGTCATTGCCTTTCCATTCATTCCGAAGACAAGCTCCAGGCGTAATGGCCATCGCGCCATATATCGATCCCAATCCGCCGCCACAACCCCATTTAGATCGATGGATTCGCCTTAGTGGAAGGTTGAGAACAAGCCAAATGAGCCTTTCTCCGCTCTTGCATACTTTTCTACCTCATTATGATCATTTCGAACTTGGTCTTCGTCTCTCTATGTGCTCAGACATGGGCTGCACCACAGCAAGGGGGCGGTGGAACCCCTCGAGTCACCATCAAGGCACCTCAAGCAAACCTGAAAGGTACAACGAAAGGATTTCTTGGAGCCAAGGCTGGTGAAGTTGAATCATTTAATGGGATCCCCTTTGCCAAGCCTCCTATTGGAGACTTGAGGTTCAAGCCACCTGTCCGGCTTACCGAAGCCATGGGCGAAGTCGATGCCACCACGGAACAACCAGAGTCATGCCCGCAGTTCATCCTACAACCAGATTTTGGCTCGCCTCTTATTCCTCCAGACCTTCTCGATAAGGTCCTCAATCTACCCATTCTCAAGAACCTAGCCGTTGGGCAAGAAGACTGTCTCACTATTAATGTGCAACGCCCCGCCGGAACCAAAGAGGGAGATAAGCTACCGGTGATGTATTGGATCTTTGGCGGTGGGTTTGAACTAGGCAGCACCTCCATGTACAATGGAGCTGGACTCATCGCAGAAGGGATGTCTACCGGCAAGCCATTCGTTTTCGTGGCAGTCAACTACCGTGTGGGTGCTTGGGGATTCATGCCGGGCAAGGACCTCATGCAGGAAGGCAGCTCTAACGCCGGTCTTCTGGACCAACGAATGGGACTAGAATGGGTCCAGGACAACATTGCTAGCTTTGGGTAGGTCTCAAAGTCCCTTTGAACCAAAATGAAAAAGTCAAAGATGCTGATTGCTTGTCTTCTAGTGGCGACCCGGACAAGGTCACTCTATGGGGAGAGTCGGCTGGCGCTATATCAATCTTCAGTCAACTCTCTCTCTACAACGGCAACATCACACGCAATGGCAAGGCCCTCTTCCGCGGCGCCATAATGAACTCCGGATCTGCTGTTCCGACTGATCCGATGGACTCTCCTAAAGCCACAAAGGTTTATGACAAGGTCCTGTCTGCTGCCGGATGTGATGGAGCGCCTGACCGATTAAAGTGCCTGCGAGATCTCTCTTACGATGTAAGGCTATCTGGCGTACCTCTATCTCTGACTGTTATGGCTGACATATGCGGCTAGGACATGCGCAAAGCTGCAAACTCTGTGCCAGGCCTTCTGAGTTACAGCTCAGTAGCTCTTTCCTACCTCCCGAGACCTGACGGGAAGAACATAGTGTCAAGCCCAGAAGTATTTGCTACTTCTGGGAAGCTCCCCAAGGTGCCCTTCATTTTAGGAGACCAGGAAGACGAGGGCACCCTTTTCGCTTTGTTCCAACCGAACATCACCAGGACTCGAGAGGTTGAAGAATACCTCGGCGAACTCTACTTCAACAATGCCTCCCCGCAGCAGATCAAGGACCTAGTAGGCACTTACGCTGCCCGCCCTTCTGAAGGATCGCCGTTCAGAACCGCAGGGTTTAACGAAGTCCGGCCGCAGTTCAAGAGACTAGCTGCCATCTTAGGTGACACGGTTTTCACCCTCACCCGTCGAGCTGTGTTCAACATCTCTCAAACAGTCCAGCCAGAAGTCAACACCTGGAGCTACCTCGCCAGTTACGACTACGGTACTCCTGTCCTCGGAACATTCCACGGATCGGATCTCCTCCAGGTATTTTATGGGATCAAGCCGAATTACGCTGCTTCGGCGACGCGGGCGTACTACTTTAACTTTGCTTACAATCTGGACCCCAATGACTCCTCTGGTGGCACGGGGAAGGCAAAGGTGAAGTTGATCGATTGGCCTAAGTGGAGAGACGGGAATAAGATGCTGCACATGATGGCCAAGAGTGCGGATTTGATAGATGATGATTTCCGACAGGACAGCTTCAACTTCTTGCTGAATAATGTAGAGAAATTACGCTTCTAAATTTGTGGGAGACTTTACGGTTCGTCTGGGGACTAGAGCTGGACTCTATGGTCTTCTGAAGTTTGGGGTTGGAAAGACATGGCCTTTCGCAACGACATCACTGGCGTTTGTGCTATGCGCACCTGCGGCGCCGCTCTTATCAGTTGATACTCGACTGAATCAATTCTCTACGACTACATGCCGATTACTGTTCCATGAAGGGTACATGTAGTCGCCCTGGCCACCCCCATAACCATCTCAGTGTCAGTGTGGCCAATGCGGTTGTCGTCTGATACCGACTTGCGATGACACAAACGTCCGCCTAAGCTCGAAGAAGCGATTTGATGCGATCTGTCACGTAGGATCTCGCGCCAGCTTAGCAAAAGCCCCGCAATTTTATCTGAGTTTCTTGGATAGTACTCTGTCTACTTATATGGCTCTCTCACTCTATCGGCTCTAGTAACGTATTTCAAACTCGGCCAACTCCTGCGCCAAGTTTGACAATGGGTGCTACCAAATGCAGAGGAGTGAGCTTGAACTGATAGGGCGCCTTGTAGAAGGTACCCTTCTGGGTGATGTTGACACCAGCTTTTCCCCAGTCATTGGCTATCACCATGTTAGCATATCCTAAGATAGTCACGAACAAGTGACGGGATAAGCAAATACATACGTGCACCAAGATTAGCAAAGCCATCCAATTCCTCGTCACCACAGACACAAGTATTTGGAGAATCATCGGGGATTACGAGGCCGTAAGTGCTGAGCGCCTCACGGGTGTTTCCGCGAAAGACATTGCCCTCGACGAGAACCTGGTTATCGGAGCGAGAGTGAATGGCCTGATAGAGGAAATCTTCGTAGAGGTTGCTATAGATGTGCTGGTGTCCGAAGCGACCTGCAGGCCCGCGAGTGCCCTCGTTCTTCCAATAATTGTGGTGGTATGTAACGTGAAGATGGCCAAAGTCGAGATCGCGGAATGTGGCATCGTTCCCAACGAGGGATGACTTCCAGTGGTCGTGGAAGTAGTTCCAGGAAACAGTGATCCAGTCCGAGGCACGGATAATATCAACCTGACCGTCCTGTTTGATTGGAGTTAGCAACATATCCAATTAGGAAGCTCATGCGGAAGAAGGTCATTTACATAGAAGTCCGGGCCTTTGGTAATATCTGAGGTGAATTCGTTGTGATCCACCCAGACCCTAGTAGAGTTACGGATCGTGATGCAGTCATTGTCCAGGATGTGGCTGATCTTGAGATTCTGCAAGATGACGTTGGTTGCGTTGTAGACATTGAGACCCTTGCCGGTAATATGTGCTGTGTTCTTGTAGCCAACTAAGCTCTTGTTGGATCCGACGTTTAGGCGTGCAGGCAAGACGAATTCGCCCTTCAGGACCACAATCTTGGGATCACTGCCTGCCACCGCGGTCTGAAGCTCAGGAACACTTGAGACTGTCACGGTCGGGCCGCCTTTGCCTCCGGTAGTCTTGCCAAGTGGGTTGTCTTTCGCGAAGCCTTCAACTTCCCAAGAGGCAAGGCCGAGCCAATCGAGGGGATTGGCAGTGGTTAAGCCTAGGAAGGCGCAGAAAACTACTGAGACGCTGACTCTCATAGTGGTAATTATCTTGAGAAGGAACCGGGGGCGGAAAAGAAGACACAGAGGGGAGAATGACCAGTACTGACGACAGATTGCGTGATCTACAAGAACGGCCCATTGACTGGAAGGCCAGTACTTGGTCCTACTTATATACCATCTATTGCATCCATGAGCTCACAGTCTGCTAGTCAATCAGCATCCCTCAAACCCCGAACCGAGCCTCGAGCCAGGTTCCAAGCTACTGGATCTGCAGCTATTCCGCGATTCTATGAACGTCATAAACATTTTCCTACGAGCATGCGGAGAACCCTGCATGCCTTGCAGAAATTGCAGAAGCCATCACCAATGATAGTCATCCAGGATACCAGGTCGAGCATCTTGGGCAAGCCACGCAACCACGGAAAGGCCATGCCAAGATCCGGCTAGCGATGGCGCTCCACTGCCAGTGGTGGAAAATGGAGACTCCGGGCCATGATGGGATGCAGCAGAAATGGCACGGGATGTTGCAGAGCATCTGCCTGTTGGGAAAGACGAGATGTTGGACGCAGCCAAGGTTGACTCCAACCGCTGAAAATCAAGCGAGATGGAGATCATTTTGCCTGAGGTGACGGTGTGTGATGGGGGTTATTAGAGGATATCTGCAGGTGCAATAGGGCAGGCTGCAGGGACAGGTAAGAAATGCAGTTGGCTGGTGTTAAAGCCTAATCTACAAAAAATAGGGTAAACCTTGCTCCAATGCAACAAAAATGCTTCACATTGGTTGGGTCCATCATCCCGTGGAATAAGCTTATGGACTTCCCGAAAGTCAAAAAGAGACTCTATGCGGCCCCGATCGGGAATAACATCAATCATCCAAGGTCCTTTGTGTCGAGTGTCAGTCGCAGGGAGAGAGCAGCCATGTACGAACAATAAGCTTATACACTTCTTGCATTGCCCAGAGCAATAATCCCCTCTTGCTGTCCTATGTCTGAAGCCCAAGCATTTGAATATTACTCCAAGGGCTAGAGAATCATTACCCCTCACGAAATGCACACGATGCAGGGCGCAGATGCAATGCCCCGACGCCCAGGCTAAATCAGCCTGTGAAATTCATGTATGCGGAGCTGGGTCTCGTCCGGAAATGCTCTCAGACTCAATCCTCCTTTCATTCTTTGGGTTCGGAGGCGTTCGGGAATCCAAGCCACGCGGAGCCCTTGTCCAGATTCTTCCATGAACCACGTTGTCCAGTAACACTGCGTCTAGTCAACCGACTTCTATGAATTGACGTGCTCATTTCTCCAGGAAGTGGGTCAAACCTTTCTCAATGTTGGTCGAGCTCAAGAATCCGGTTGATCATCTATCAGCCTATCATCATGATACTTCTCAACGATTTCTAGGAAAGTCTCGGAGGCTTCTGAGACAGCTCACCTGTTGTTTTAAGAGGGTTATTCCAGGCCAGCGGAGAACTTTACGTAAGGGGCTTTCGAGGCGCTGGCGGTCTCACCTCAGCCCTCTCGGCTAGGCCCGTCTGCTTCGGGGCCTCAGCTCCGGCTCAACCACCGGTCTAGACTCCGCCCCGCAGACACGGCCCCACCAGGGCTTTCCTCCCTCGCTTCACGACTCAAATCCCACACTTCCTCACCCTCCCACCACAATGATTCCTATTGCCTAATTTCCACTTCCGCCTTCAACAATTCAAATGGTCTGGTGGTGTAGTTGGTTATCACGTCAGTCTAACAGATTCGAGGCAACTCGACCTGGGCACACTGAAGGTCTCCGGTTCAAGTCCGGGCTAGATCATCATGGGCGATTGGTTTAGTGGTATAATGACCGCTTAGCATGCGGTAGGTCCTGGGTTCGATTCCCAGATCGTCCATTCTTTTGCTTCCTGGAGCCTTGGGTGCTTTGGCGTTTGCTTTTTTTGCCTTTGTTTGCATGTTCCTTGCCCTTCATTCTCTGCTCCTTATTATAGTTCTAGTCGGATCACGCCCCCCCCCCCCCCCCCCCCCCCCCGGGCCCCCCCCCCAAAAAAAGGAAAAAAAACATCGACCGGCCCTATTATATTTATATGTGTTTTAATTTTCCTTTTTTTTCATTTTCCTTCCCCTTCATTCTCTGCTCCTTTTTATAGTTCTAGTCGGATCACCCCCCCCCCCCCCCCGGGCCCCTTCAGGGACCTTCACAAAGAAGAGGTGAAACGCAACTTGCCAGGCATTATTAACTTGTAAAGGTCTATAGTTCTAGTCTTGCTTCAATGTCGAAGTGGAAAGATGAAATGGCTGCGCAAGCGTCTACTCCTGTTTCGCAGGCTTGCGTCCTACCATCAGGTACATGGGTGTGAAAATCTTCTCCTTGCCACCGAGAACAAGCGCATCAGCAGCGACACAAAGGCTATCTGACATCTTCATCATCCCAGGAGGGGCAAGTCTCAAAGTTTCCATAAGTCCAAGGAACCCATGCGTAAAAGCCCGTCCCAGCCCAGTCATGCGGAAGGTGTAGAGCAAGTCGCCCACCGTCTGCGCGTGTCTCCAGCTACCCGCGTCCAACGGCCAGTACCACGGGCTCGGATCCGGACGCTCTGCCATGTCCTCGTTCTGGATCATCTCGAAGCCCGCTGCTTGGAAGGCGCGTACAGCTTCGGATGCCTTGACCATGTTGGCGATGCCGTCTCCTTGTTCGATATCGATGCGGATCTTGCGCAGACGCAGGTCTTCGTTGTCGTATTTTTCCGTCATGACCCATTCGTAGACGCCAAAGACGCCACCAGGCTTGAGGACTCTGAAGATCTCAGAGTACACGTCTTGTAGGGACGGGGCGTGGACGGTGGCTTCGATGGCGTAGACCGCGTCAAAGGTGTTGTCTTCGAAGGGAATGTTCTGTTGAGCATTTGTTGTCAGTTGGGCTCGCAGGTGCGCTTTGTTGAAAGTAGGAATTCATACCATGAAGTCGCCTTGGACGAATTGGACCTGCTTATCCAACTTTGATTTCACGGCATACCTCGTGGCCCGTTCCACCTGGTACTCGTTGATGTTGAGACCGGTGATGTACGCCCCCGTGAACTTGGCAATCTCCCGAGCAGGTCCGCCCACGCCGCAGCCAACATCCAGCACCTTCATATCCTTCTTAATATCGATAACGTGAGCGAGGTAGTGTTCGTGTCTTGCGATGCTCTGCTGGAAAGATTCACCGGCAGAAGGGCGAGAAAAGTGGAAGCTTTGGCCGAAGCCATACTCGTAGAAATCGGTCGCCAAGTTGTAGTATCTAGAAAGCCAACAATTAGACCACAAGATTGCTTATTGGTGTGAGAGTCGAGCTTACTGCCGAGTAAGAGAAGCGTAATCTGCTGTACGAGCCTATATGACACCAATAGTTAGGCAAAGTTGGGTAAGAGATCCGGTCAAACGTACATGACGGTCTTCTTTCGTTTCTTTTTGTGCGCTCTTATTATCCCAATGACTGAAGTACTCGTCCGTGGCCGCCTTCTGGGCTTCGTAGTCCTTCTTCAACATTGCTGACATGCCGACGTCTTTGGACGTTCCCTTGTGGAGAATCTTCTCAAACGTGGCATCTTTGGCCAAGAGCATCTGCCCTTCCTCTGGAATAGTTCCAACCATTATGATGAATGACGAGGTCGGATTTGTAGATGACTGTGACTTGTAATCGAGTTGGAAACGGTTGATTTGCAATGCCCAGAATTGGTAGAAAATTGGCAGAGGTTGTTGAAAGACGTAGTTCTCGAAGTGTTGTCATCCTTTTTTATCAACACGAGCGTCTCCTCTGCTTTTAAGTGATTTTTCTTCAACGTTACTTTCAACCATCAGTTCAATAAGTTGGACATATTGATTCTATCATTCACAAAGTAAGGAAGGCTGAGATGTCAGACACGAATACGTGATAAGCTCCTCGATGGCAATCAAATCCGAATACGAATGCGCCTCTCTACCCCCACTGCGGATGCCAGAACCGTCAACTCGGGCAAAGCTCTGGAGTCTCTCTGATTCGTCAACCCTGCCTAAATGGGAAAGACAGTGGATCGCGAAGATGATGCAACAACCCGTTCGCTCCCGTAGAGCCGTGTCCTCACTCAATGGAGGATTCTGATGAAATTTGTGGATATCTCTCGAAACGTTCTGTCCTTTCTGCAGGCATCATTCCGCTTTACCATGCTTTCTGATGAAATTGCTGGTCTTCGGGAGACCCATATTTCGAGCCTATTGTGGAAAGGCGCCGGTCTGACCTGTCCGTGCTGCTCGCAGAGCCATGGACACGAATACGAAGAACGGCCGGATCCAATACTACTTGCCTTGATATCGATGATTGAATAGTCGGCACAGAGGGACACCGGATGCTGGTATATCATAGGTATTCTCAACATCAAAGCGAATGAACATTGCACGGGGTGACTCTTACGCTTCTTGCCATCATAAATATCCCTCAAAAAAGCTTAGCTCAATGGTGCATCATGGATTGTGGCAGCCACAGTCTCAAAGTAGGCTCCATCCATGCCCAGGGGTTGTCTGCGAACTTGCTAAAGCACACCCGCTCGTTGTCCTTGAGCTTAGCGTGGCGTTCAACTCCTAATAATCATCATTCCGCCCCAAGTCGTGAAGCCAATGCATTATCTGCTAACCCGTGATCATGTTGTCGTGTCAGAACCATAGAGCCATAATTTTGATTGCATAAGGCAACGATAACCTGATTTTCATTAGGTGGGTAGTTAAGAGATGAATGGATTGCGACAGGAACAGACAGGACTATGGGCTATTGTTATCTCTACAATGGCCAAGTTCTGCTGTGCTCTTCCGATGGCGGGGTATTCTGTCCGTACTACTTCTACCGCTTCCGTGACTGGTGCGGGGCGGAGCCTGGTGCCCGGGGACGGGTCCGGGCTCAGGGGTTCCGGAAACTTCGGAAGACAGCCGGCGGGCCTAGCATGTGATAATCGGAGCCGTGGAGATGAGACGGACCCGGCCACTTGGTGCTGCCCCATTTTGATGCTGCGGTAACGATGGGCTTAGGCCCGAACCCGATTACCT